GGCTTCATCGATCGAGTCATGGCCCAAGCACACATCAATGACACACCTAGGATTTAATGTCTTGGTGACTGGAAGAAAGGATCGACGTTTTTATATAGGCTCCGTTAGGTTATACGGCTTATACCTGTACAATAATATACTGTATTGTATATATAAAAAAGGGGTCAGCGTGCAGTTTTTCCTGCGATTTTTATTTATTTTTTTGGCGTGATGAGCAAACGGAGACAGTTTTAATGCGCGGACCGTTTTATTCTCCGTTGGTAACTGTATAGTCCTGTAAAATAAACAGCGTGAACCGAAAACTCTTGCCTTCCCACGTATTTAACCGCAGAAACAAATTTTACGATAAGCGAAAGAGGTTTTTCCGCACACTGAACAACGTTTGAAGGTTTGTGCTCAAGCAATAATGGCACATCACATAAAGTACCACATGGCTTCATTTCAGGCAGATTTGTGGTACCCTTATAGTTTATTGCCAAATCGGTGGGTACATTTTGGGTCCACGTACTTTTTTGTTGTATTTGTATAAAAAAATGTTGGACCAAATCTGCTGTTTTATGCCAAAAAAAAATCTGCTATGGAAATGGGTTTTTTTTTTTTTGCTGGATGAAAGCATTGACTTCACTTTCTCCGGAATTGGATTTATCATACAATCGGAAATTTTCTGAGACCAATTTTCACATGCAGGTGAAATTCTGTCGAAACAAGCACCTTATTGGGACCCACAAAATTGTTATGAGAAAAACTTTTTTTTTTCCTCAGCAATTTCCCATGAAATTTGTGACGATTGTTTTATGAAATGTGAAAGTTCAATGTCAAAGTTTAAATTCCGGAATAATGAGCGCGTTTGAATGGCAAATCTTTTCAGTTTTGATGTTCAAGTTCACTGTGATTGCTTATATTCTGAATAATTTTGCAAATGTGCGCTTCGGCAATTTTTCATTATTGCAAAAATTGTATTTTTTTTAAATGTGCTCAAATGGAACATGGGATTTTCTTTGAAAGTTGGTCAATGCAAATTAGCATTTTAATCGATCTGACCGAGAAATGATAAGACCACGACTAATTATCTTGAGGCTGATGCAAAATGCTTCTCTATTATAATTTAACATGCACTAACGTCTAAGTGAAAATGACAATTTTTTTTTCGAAAAAAATTCCGAATGCTTGTTTTTTTCATTAAAAAACTAAAGCAACAGGAAATAAATTTTTTGGAGGAATCTATTTCCAGTTGAGTTTTCTTACTACTGCTGTTTAATTATTACTCATGCTAGAGAAACTTTGAAAGTATGCGACATGACGAAACACGTAGTAGACTGAGCACTTCATTAGTCAGTTATCCAGATCCATAAAAAAAGTCAAGACTATGACAACATTTGTGTGGGAAGTTTGAATTATTTTCCTTTCCAAAGGAATTTTTTCGGATTGAGCAAGCATCATTCTTGAATGGACACCGAAGACTCATCAGCGTACTTTAGTCCTCTTGTCTTCTTGTCCCGAGGGACATGGATGTGCTTGGTAGATGCATGACGGAATTTACAGTGAAATTTCGCTACAGCGAATTGTTTTATTATAACGAAAAATCGCTCACAACGAAGTCATATTTTAGGTCCTTGTCCAATTGTTGCAGTGTAAAATGAGTCACTGATGTGAGTTAATAATGCATTGTTTGTCACAACAAAAGTTTTTTACTGATCCCAGTGGCTTTTTTTGTAATGCGATTTTGTTGTATAGTACTGTATTTATGATTAGATCCAAAAGTTCATGTTCATTTATTTCCTGGCAGTTTTTTTTACAATCCTGAATCTACTAAAGTTTTAAAATTTTTCAAGTGATTATAATCATGAAGACAAAATGGAAATTAAAACCCATGCAAATTTTTGAAATGAAAGTCCTAAGGAGTTTGACTTTTGAAGATCACATTCCATCAGAGTTTCATTATGATCATTGTTTGCTGAGAAACTATACCTGTTGAATTAATATTATCAGATTTATTTTTGTATTTGCTGCATAAAACATGAACTTGTGTTTTTGAAGACCAAAATCAAAATTAAATCCTGCATGCTTTGATTCATAGAAATTACATTTTGAATGAAATTGAAAGGGAATGTTTGTCCAATAGATATACAGCAACCATACATTTTTGTTTTTTATAGACCAAAAATGCATTATTCCTGCACAATCTTTTGCTAAAACTACATTATCAATTATATGACAAGGATAAGATATTTTTTCTGTCATTCACAAGGTTCAATCAAGATTTCCACAACCAAACCCCCTTCCCATGAAATATTAAAACGTAGATTTGGAGCATTATAAGTAATTTAGCAAACATTTCAATGGCCAGTTACTTCTGGTCATTGAAATTGCGTGGCATTATTGAAAATTGAATATCGTGAAGAACTTTCTGACGGATATTTCTGTACTTGTCCCGTGGAACAAGTTGGATGGCCCGTACATCTTTTTGAGTGTATTGCTGCGGGTTGGGGCTATGCCGAATCCGCGGAGGGAGGTTCCGTGGCGATTTCAAGTATCGTTTACTTTCAATGAAAATAAATATTTCATTCTGCGGAAAGCCATTTTACGGGAGGCTATCCATAGCTGATAGCTCGAAATGTGTGTTTTTTATATGGGGAATTATTCAGGATCATCAAGTAGAAACAGGAAAAACTTTTCTCCAATTACAGTACAAAAAGTTTTTTCTGATTTGGAACTGTTTTTCAGTCAATCTTGGAAATCTTGTGGCAAAAACGCAGTCAGTATTACGATTTTTTTCTGAAGACCTGAGAAGTTTGTTGTAACAATATTTTACTGCATACGATATAAGGGAGGCTCCATGAATGTCTTTCAATGGCAGAAGTACATTTGAACCTTGAAAGAAAACACAAACCTCCAAGAGTTGATTTTTTTTCGAAATTCTCATCAAAATTCCCCTGGAAACAATTATCTATCAATGTTGAAAAACTATCAAAGTCAAAGGTTTTTCCTTTGAAACCTATGTACTCAATTTTTCTGCGGCTTTTTTTTGCTATTATTTTCTTGACTCTTGTATGAGATAATTCTATAAAGAAGTAACTTGATGTGCTTGAAGGGAAGTAAAAGACTAAAGTTGCCAAAATAGCCCACTGCCTCCAAGTTCAGCCTCCTGTCAAGTCATTTGACAAGCAAATTAAGACCCAGAATATCACCATTTACTATTTCCTGCTATCTTTTTATGTTTCCAGCTACAAAAGTTCTTTGTTTGCTGACTCAAAGCCTCCCTCATTCAATTCTTTTGCTGGTTCCTTGAAATTCTACTTGAAGAGGTTAGACTGAATGTTTCTTTAACCCTTGGACAGCAGAGTCACGATCTTTTTGGGGGTTGGCACATTTCAGTTTGACCCTAGGTCACTGAAATGCTCCCAGATTGAGAAGACCAAGGTTGGTAGAAATCCAGGAGGCAAAGTTTCTGTTGTTTTCAGAATTTTCCCATGCAAATCCTAACCCAGGAATGCAGAAAAGAGTGCCACCCAGTGATGCATTTTTTTTACAATTTTCTTTCAACATTTTCTGCCGGATTATCTAAAAATATCATACTTTTTCCCAACTTAGGCCTTGGTACAAAAGCAAGATATTTTAAATTTCCAGTGCTCAGCAGCACAAAATTTTGCAAAAACATCCTAACTTTGCCGCACGAAGGACTTGAAAAGTCACCACAAAATTCACTTTCCGCAGAACTTCACTCCTCGGATGTGGACTGGCGCCCCGCGTGGGTCACCTTGAGGACTTCCCCTCTCCGAATGCTCACATGGGGCAGATGTGAGAGAGTGGCTTTAGTCTTAGTCTCCTTACGCAATTCCGGTGCCCTGCACAACTGAAAATACCTGTCCTACACATACGGGACTCTCAGTTGCATTGGAACGCCTGCTTCAAAAAGTTTTACGGAAATATAGTAAAGTTTTTGTCTATACATGATCTCTATAGTCTCTGTATATACTGCTGGCCCAGGCCTGTTCTTTGCTACATATTTGAGTGCTGAATGCTGCAAGAGAATCAAAGACTGTTGCCAATTTTTTATGAGTGTGTGTGTGTGTGTGTGATGTCATTCTGCCCGGACATCCGGACACTATCTTGACATAGGGACACTTTTCCAACATTTCGGGGAAAATTGAAAATTTTTATATACTGTATAAAGATTTGGATTTCCCTCAATAAATGTAGCTATTTTATTTATATTCACAAAAATTTAAAAAAATTGAAGTTCTTTATAAAATTTCCTCAAATTTGTGATGAGAAACAGGTTAATTTTCTGCTTCTTTTTTGGAGCTTTCTCCACAAATATCTGTGCAATGTATAGCAAAACTTAATGTGTGATGAATATTTTCTTCTAGCAAATGTGTGTTCTCCCATTTGTTTTTGTCATTGGTTTGTCCTTTGTTTCATACTTGAAAGAAATCAGCATAATCTGATTGATTGAAAATGTAACCCTCTTGAAATTTTGAACATAAAAAATGTCAATTCACTAAAAAGGATTGGGTTGGGTGGGGAGGGGGTTTGGATGCGGGAGTCTTGGTTGTGCCTTGTGAACGCTGAAAAGCGGCAAATAAAGTGTTCTGTTCATTCATTCATTCTAGCAAATGTTCTTCTGATAAGTCAGTGCCAATTGTGGAATTTTATTGTAACCTGCAGTTTCTCCAGAATGCTAAAAAATAATTTCATGTCATATATTATGCTATATTTTCTCTTGAAATATGAATAATAAATACTGTACTGAATTTCTCAAAAGTTTTGGGCCAGTTGCAACCTGCCAAAACCATCTTGTATTTTCACTCTTCTCTTTGATCTTTATACATAATAAAGTTGGCCAACCCAAAAATGAAACGCCGTGCACAGTTTGCAAAAATTAAAATTCCTAAGATTTTGAAAGACATTCTTCATTTTCTTTTTGGGGAGTGCCCTAGTTTCCAAACGGAAAGCGTGCATCATATTCCACTATATATTGTGTGGCGTAATCCTGAACCTGTCTCTTGCTTCACAGGCAATGGTGATGTGATGTACCGAATCCTCATCCCACAGTGAGGAAGAATATAAAGCAGTCATGTGCTGAGTTGTGCGAGCTTATCTGGAAATTCCAGCAAAAAATTGGACATCATGGCTTTAAGAGTGCATCTGAATAAGGGGGCTGATGCTTACCCCTCAGTTTCACTGAAAATGATGCTGGTTTGGACCATCTTGTTGTTTGGTCTTGGTTGTGGAAATGGTCAGCTGGTGCAGACAAAAGTGGATCCTGTGCTGATTGTGGCACAGAATAAGAATCTTGGTGGTGACCCTGATGTGAATTTACCACCTTCAATTGATGACAAGAAGACTGTGGCAGGAACAGTGAGTTTCAAAAGTTCAACTACTGATATACTTTACTGTACTGTACCCCTGTTTTGTAGCACCAATGTGGGGAAAATGGATATGAATGTGTGCCCAGGTAGAGAGATGTTCCAAGGACTTGTTGATGGTGTTTGTGGCTCACAGACCACTTTGGGAAATCCAATAAAACTTACCTGCTGGGTCCACCTCTTACAAAGAAGCGATGTATATGTTCAGCCATGAGAATTTGAAAACGTTGAAAAACTGAACTCCAAATCAAGAAGGAGGAATTCATTCTCAGTGCTGTTGTTTGTCATGTGAAATTTGAATGTAATTCTCTGGTCACCTTTAGTAAGATTAAAGATGGTTAATTATCTCAGGTAAAACTACAGTACCATATTTTTATCATGCTAGTTTTCAGGTTTTCCACTTTTCAGTTCTTCAGTTGCTCACTTTATCCTATGGCCAACATGTTCCACCTAGGAATTTGGGGTTCTTATAAGAAACATTTTAGGTAGCTCAGAGAGAAATAGAGTGTGAATGGGAAAAATGATTCTATTTCAGAAATATGTCTTATAATAGTGTGCCAATAGAAATTTGAGGCAGTTCTTCAAAACTTGATTTTCTCTCTGTTTTCTGGCCAAAAATAATCAGAAAACATTCTGAACTTCCAAAGAACAGCTTTGAATAAGAGAAGCTGTATTTTTACTGAACATTAAATTATATTGCAACATATTTTTTTGAATACACCCTTTTTTAAATATGATTCTGGGATAACTCATCTTATGCTTTTTCCATGTCTTTTTGGTCCACTATTGCTTCAAATTCTTTGTAGACTTTCCTCATTTATCTTCAATTGAAATCAAAATCGCCTTTGCTCTATTTCTTGAACATCATTGAAGCTCCTTTTTAGTGAATTGACATTTTTTATGTTCAAAATTTCAAGAGGGTTACATTTTCAATCAATCAGATTATGCTGATTTCTTTTTTGTATGAAATATTGGCAGTTGATGAGTATCAAAGTTTCTTCTGCTTCCCATTTTTAATAAGCTGAATAATTTATTTCTGTTTGTTTTTATTAGTATTCATTGCTTTTTTGGAGGTGAATTGCAAAACTTGCAAGAAACATCTTGTTGGTCTAATTTTTGAGGATGATGGAGCCTTGGCTATTTTCAGATGAAGTATGCTGATTGAATCCATATTTAATATACTTCCTTAAAAAATAATAAAAATCAAGTACTGCAATAACTGTGCTGTGAATCACACTCAACAGGTCCAGGGTGTGGTCAAGTTGGATGGTACCTACGAAGAAGGGCTTGGCTCTGTGATCCGTACAAACAGGACCTCTGCTTTTCTCAACTGCACCTCTGGGGCCATGAATGTGGATGTTGAATTCTCTGAGCCATTCTGGGGTAGGATCTATGCAGACTTCAATAGATTCAGTGCCTGTTCTGTGAATGGCAATGGAGGAAGAAGTTATACACTTGCTTTGCCTCTCAGAGGTTTGTATATGCTTTTTCTTGAAAATACATTTTTACAGGAGTTTCTTACTCTGTCAAAAATCAGGTTATGTCAGTCTATGATCATATTAGAGTGTATTGTCATTCTGCTTCAGGCTTGATTTGGATGAACCTTATGATAAACAATGAACTATTAAATTAGCTAAGCTATAAATGGATTTTTAATTCTGAAAACAGGTTGTGGATCCATTAAAGATCATTTGTCATTAAGGAATTGCAATCCTGCCTCAGGCTGAATTTTGAACCTTCTTACTGCAAGTTTATAACAATAAGCTGTTTAATTAGCTTAGCTGAAAATGGATATTTCATTCTAAAAATTAAGTTGTGAAACTATGGAAAATCTGTGATTTAAAAATTATCATCCTGCATCTGGCTGAATGTTGAACCTTCTTATTATAAAAATAAGATGTTAAATTAGCTGATATGTATATGAATATTTCATTCTAATAACAGGTTGTGGAACCATGGAATAGCTGTCATTCAAGAATTGTCATCCTGTCTTAGGCTGGAGTTTGAACTTTCTTATCATAACAATGAGCTTTTAGATTAGCTAAGCTGTAAACAAATATTTCATTCTAAAAATAGGTTGTGGAATTATTGAAGATTTGTCATTCAAGAATTTTCTTCCATGTGTTTCTTCTGCTTCAGGCTGAATTTGGATGAAACTTAGTGTAAAAATATAAGCTGTTTTATTAAAAAAGCTGAAAAATTGATACTTTTTTTTCAATAAATAGGTTGTGGAACCATTCAAGATCCTGCTCGAGTTTTCATAAACAACATAATTGTGCGCTTCCATGCTGGTCTGGAACTTGATGGAGATGAGGTGAAGACCATTATTTGTAGGTATCCACCTCCCATAGCACCGCCTCCGGCGGTTCCAGTGGTGCCAATTGTGGCACCACCGCCTGCAGCTCCACCACCAGTTCCTGCTGGCCTGGGTATGTTTATTTACGTAGTCTTTATGACAATTTTTTTTCTACTGATGGACAATATTTGAAAATCCATATCTGACAAAAGCACCTTAGTTGAGAAAAAACTAGTGACGGAATTACGTTTAAAAATAATTCTGTCATCACAAATCAATGTAATTAAAAAATGTTTTTCAAAGGTTCTCAGAGAAATAATGTGAAGAAAGTTGTAAAGAAATTTTTTTACAGCGAATTTTCATTGTTCATTTAGGCAAATTTAATTGTTGGAAGGCTTTCTGCTGGTGATTGCCTTAAAATTTTCATAATTTTTTCTCCCAAGTTTTCTGTGTTCTGATTTGAATAATCATTTACTCATATTAGCATTGACAAAAAAGTTATGTTGAATATAATCTGGGATTTATTTAATAAGAAAATCCTGTAGAGATCATTTTTGTCCTCGAGAAACTCCAGTAAAAATACTTCTTTCAAGAAACACAAACTTCTTTTAAGAAACATATTTGCTTCCTTCTTTGTACAGTACTTGGATTTCGCTAAAAAGAAGTCGTACCTTCTATATTACCGTAATCTCATTCGAACACAATTTCGTACACCACATTTTTAAATGATTTTCGTCATTTCAATTCACTTCATAAAATGTTATCGCAAAATGAAATTTTTTCCGCAGGAAATATTGCCTCATAACACGTTTCGCAGATATTTTGGAACTTTGTTGTTTCACCCTTCTTTGTCACCATTTGGAAAATTCTTTCTCTTGCTTCACCGAAGAATTCGACACTCCTTTGGGTTCTCCCATCTTATTCTACAGCTGCCCACGCAAATGCGAAGGCAGCAAATGGCGACCCCACCCAAATTACTATTCTGCTACTTTTTTTGGGTGTTTCGATTTGAATTTTACACTTCCTGCATGTTTCAATCAGGTAATAAAAGTACAGGACGAGCGAGAAAGCAGTTTTCATATTCAAGTCGAATTAAGATTTTCTGTATACAGTGAGACCCCAAGATGCGGACGTAATTGATGCATCAAGAGTGTCCCTAAGTCAAGTCTCATTTTCCTTTAGACTTACATTATGTAATTTTTTATTGGTGTTTTACATACAAAATACTCACCATAATTCCATGAAAATAAAAATTGTCTCCCAATTTAAACTGATGTCAATCAATATATTTCAATGCAATATGGGCATTTGGGGAATTTAATACTGATACCTCTGTATACAGTACATGGAAATGTTGGCATTCTCTGTAAAAATAATATTCTAGTTTAAAAAATGGAGAATTAAGTCCCTCTCTGCTGGAGGTACTTTTTTCTAATTATCTATATGGATGGTAAATTGGTGAGATAAATGCCCAACACCAATTTTAGGGTTGGAAATATCTGCTTCTTGTAATTTGGCCTGAAATGTATTTGAAATATTATAATAAAATGTCCCTATGTTGAGTCAGTTTCCTCATGTCGGGCCATTTTTATTAATTTTTTATTATAAAATAAGTGTCCCCATGTCGAATTGTCCGCAGGTCAAGGTGTCCGCATGTGGGGGTCTCACTTCATAAAAATTGACCTCAATCAGCAAATACCTTCTTGTCATCATCCAAAAAACAAACAATACAAAACAATTTTTTTTTTTCGAAAATATGAACCTTTTCTCGTCAAGAAAAAGACGCCTCATACTTAAATGGGACTGATTACCTACCCATCGAAACTTTCATTGCCCCCGACGGGATAGAAATGCTCAAATTGCCGCAAACAGCATTACACTGCAAATGTTCAAGCTGAAGAACTGCCTCCATATTATTTCATCCCTTTTTCCCCCAAAAACTAAGGACGGGTCAATGCGGCCAGAATGCATAATCATTCTCTATTATTTATCGTGAAAAACAGTATGCAGATGAAACAAGCCGCATTTCTCCTCTCGGTGTTCTACTAAGTCACAAAGTGCAAAGCGACGCGAAAGCATTAAAGCTTACCTTACAGACTAGCACTTACTTTTAACTAGGCTCCTAAGGCCCCTTTAAGGGTAAAGTGGGGTTTCTATTACTATTAAAAAAAAAAAAGAACATTGAAGAGCAAATATAATAAATAACCAGAATGAGTCCAGCCTAAAAATTCAGAACTTGTGTTTTTACATCATCTCATGCGATGAACATACCGGTGACTCAGCTTATATTTTGCAATCAATAACGGAAGTTTGAAGAAGTGATTACTGGGGTTCTTTAATGAATGAACTAAGAACTGAACATATAATTTTGCATTACGTAGTACTTCATTTTACGCCTTGTGCTTATTTGCTCTCTCTACTACATTTAAGTCCGTAAGCCTTTTCTTTTGTTTTCTCATCTGGGGAAGTTAAAATTTAAATGATTTTGTTACAGCAAAAATTTTTAGCATGAGCTTCAAAAGGGATAACCTTCTCTTAATGATTCCATCATTTTACTGGGAATATTCCCTGAAGATCCCGCCAAAAAATGTGCAACGCAGTTCAAACATATTGACATTAAATCACGTTGAAAAAAAGGTTCTCATCAGCCAACGTATTTCACTAAATTTCAAAAGCTTTATTCAAAATAAAATATATCCTTATTTCGAGGGAATTAATAAAACGTGCAGCGTTCGTTCTATTCTCGAAAAAAAGTACCCGAAGCATTACAGGAGTTCAGAAGTACCAGAAAAGTTTACTTCCACCCGAAATGAAGAACTACGTACATAAAAAAAAAATACGCAGCTGTAATTGTCATGAATAAAAAATAAATTTTCCTGTACCTACGTCGAACTCCTACCATTACGTGTCACGTATTTAGAAAAATCTGACGTTCCCAAAGCTTTCCTTCGAACTCTTTTAACGCATTCTTCTTAAAACTACTACCGAGACACGCAAACGAGTCCAACTTAAGCTCCCCCTTCATTAGAGAGAAACCTGCGACAATAATACAAAACGGCTGATTAATCCAACTCGCAGGAACAGTACATAGAAAAAGGGACAACAGAAAAATAAAACCTTCAAGACTGGATAGATCCCAATCATTGAGAGAAAACCATAAGGTATATATTTAAAAATAAAAACACACCGTCTGTGATTCCAGAA